GCATTATTACGTCTTCACCCTGTGGTCTGCTGGTAGAATTATGTTCTCTTTTTGCTTGTTCATAATCTCCAGAAGCAATCTTTTCGTTTGTCTCTCAGAGTTACAGAGTATCACGTGGCTGTGATTTTCAAGTACAGCTTATAATTTTATCTCATTTTATAACATTTGCTTACATTACTCAGTCAGTGCCATTTGCGCAATTCTAATTTATCGCTTCCCTTAGAACGCTGTGTATATTATTATTATTGTTTTTATTTTCTTTGATTTCTGGCGTTTACACATTTCCTTCCGGGTACCGCCCAGGGACCTAAGGTTAGAAATGGCATCATGACACTTTCCACTGACAAAAAAAAAATATATATATATATATATTACATAGATAAAGCCCTTCGTAAAGCGTGGGCTGTACTTGTCAGAACAGTTTTTTTTGTATCTCCTTGAGGCATGGACTTCCAGGAATCCCTTCAATTAGTCTACTGCAATCTTTTCCAACCAGTCCTATTATTTTGGGTAACTGTGTCTGGTTGGTGCTCATACCAACTCTCAGTGGTTTCGATTTTGTGCTTCTTAAGTTTCGTTGTGGGTCAATTTTACTGCATCTTCCTCCGTACTCTTGCCTGATTGAATATTTTCGTATCCGCAACTGAAACTAGTAAGATCCCAATGAAATTGGAAAATGGTAATTCCTAACTTCTAGCTATTGTACCACGCACATATCCACGTAATGCGCTAGTGTCGATATATGCGTAAATAATCTCGTCATTTTTGACGGGTACTATGATTGTAAAATGCATCAATATATACATATGCATGTATATACGTATATATTAATATATAGCAATAATATAGTAATAATATTATAGTTTCTATAATAATTGATGGGATAATAGCAATATTAGAAAGGCCAGAGAACGCATCGGCCGAAATAATGTTGTAATCGATACAAAAGAGATTATATTATAATAATAATTAGAAATTATACTAATAATTCTAATAATTATACTACTTCATGTTTGATGAGGGGATAGTGTAACGGTGAAGAACTAGAAAAGAGAAACGGCCGAACAGGGTTCGAATTCCGGCAGAGCTCGTTGCGTTTATTTTCGAAAAAAAAAATGTATCTATTTCCTTGAGGTGGCAACTAATTGAGGAGAAGGAAAACTCAGAATTACCCTCTAAAACTATGACTGCAGTATACCATTACGATCCAATTACACACACAGAGAACATTAAGCAATTCTAGAAGAGGGATCGGTCGTAATCGAAAAAAAAACAAAAAAAAACAAAGATTATACCAGTAGTACTAATATTACATAGCATAATGGTATTACTTCATGCCGAAACTTGATTTATACTTAGAAGACCAAATAGCCCATCGGCTGAACCGGTACAATTAAGACAACAAAATCGAGATGAGTCGTTAGATGAAATCAAATATATGAATTTTGAATTGCAATTCTCCGACGAGCTATACGCAGTTAACTTATTTAAAGTTGACCTGAATAAGAGAAATCTAACAAGAAATCATTTTGGATAACTAGCTTCTTGAACGGGTAGGATTTGGCTGGGAATGTTGTTCCAGGTTAATCAGATATCAACTGCTTATACCTATCCGGAGGCTGTTTAATTAGAGCTTCCGTTCAAGTTTATCGAAGCCATTCATCTACCTGCCGTACTCATTCTTTGCTTCCCGCGTAGAGTTTATGATTTGTTTTGCGCATGCGCAAGGCACTGATAATTCACGTTTGCTGAATAGCTCGAGAGAAAATCGGAAATCGAGGCAGAAAAAAAAAACGAGGGGAAAAGAAAATATCAAGGGTAGGATTAATGCGGTGGAATATGTATTTTTCGCTTGATTCCTAGACTGATTAAAGAATTTCTGAGACTCTAAAATATATTTCTATAAAGAAAACAATAATGTCATTGATGTTTTATAACTTAGAATGATAAACGTATTCCCACTAATTTTGGTTGGCTGGATGATTTTGTTTAGTGACATATCAACCTCTATGGTTTATTTAACGCCGAAAACTAAATATTTTCAACATAGTTTTATGACTTCAACTACAAATACATTTATTGTTGCTATAAAACCTATTGTTAATTCTGCTGTAAAAATGTATTGTTAGAAATAGTAAATGTATTGCTGGTATTTTTTACTATAAACATCTATTTTTATACTTTCATAATGTTTGGGGGTTCACTAACTGCCCATATCTGGAACCCAGTCATGTGCTACCATACCGGATCGGGATAGACGTAAGAACAACAGCAATTAAGATGTGGTTTTCCACACCTCAAAGCGTCCAATTTCCCGATCAGATGCCGAGCTAACGAATGTAGTTAATCGTCATACCCACGACTATCCACTAATTTTAGATTAGAAGAAGAATATAATAATTATAAATAAATTCAAACAGGCATTGTCTTTTGAAGAAATATATTGTAAGTCTACCTCAAGAATTTCTAATCAAAGAAAGCTTCGGTCTTATCGGCTGTGTATTGAATTGACCAAAATTATTATTATATGTCCCTGTAATCGGCCCTTCAAAAAGTGAGGATGGTCCTGCACAAAACCTTCACCACTATAATCAAATCTCATGTGCTATACATGCGGGTTGGGGACCGCTTGTGAATTCAAAATTCCCATGAAACTCCAATATTGGAGCCGGCTCAACCCACCTCGGGTGAATGCCGTTTAAAGCGGTCTAGGGCATCTATCAATAAACCGAAGCTTTAGATGATAGTGGAACAAGGGTAACAACAGAACATATTTTAGTGCTTTAATACGAATAATTTCGCGATGATATATGATCGATATTCGGGATAAATGTTTCTCAAATTCGGCTCGGGGCCTGAGCAGAAATTATTCGGCCTGTGACCCTCAAAACGCGGACAAATAATTTCATTGTTTCTTCATTTACCGGCTGGCAGTAAAACACTTTCAGCTTGAACAAGAAGTCCTTGACACCAAATTTCTCTTGCTTCGTCACATTTTTTCTAAAATTCGTCAGGCCGAAAAAAAAAACTTGATTAATTCCATTTATAAAACCATTATTGTGTGTAGAGTAAAAACTACTCAGATGTCCATCTTCATTTCCTTCATTCGCTTGTTATTATTCATCTGAAGACTACTGACGAGTGGACAGAACGATTACTAAATGATTCATCTAGGAAAATCCAGTGCCGAGGTGCTGGATATAACATCAATCAGCTGAGTGACAATTTTATTTGTATTAATTTATATATATATATATATATATATATATATATATATATATATATATATATATATATATATATATATATATGGGGAAATGTATGACAAAGTGGAAAGTTTTTTCTTGTCACGCGTTTTGTCTTTTAGACTTCATCCAAGAAAAACTTTTAAAATTTTGTCATACATTTTACCCAATATTTTTCTTCACATACAAAAAAAATATATATAGTTATATATATATATATATATATATATATATATATATATATATATATATATATATATATATATTCACAACCTATTGCTACTAGGTTCCAATCCAATGAGTGCCCAGTTAGTATATACGTTTTGACAGGTTAAACCATGATGAGAAAAATAACTCTGATTTGACAGGCAGAAATGAACATTCATAGGGATCCCATGTATCGTGACCTAATTCAGGATTAAACTAAATGTATCACAAAACGCCTAATAATGATCACTAAGGGTCTAAAAATGTGATCTGAAATTTTTCATGAAATGTTTTATTCATTTTCTTTGGGGTTTTCCTATAAGTATCGATAAACGTACCGTTCCTTAGATAATTCAAAGAAATGTGTAGAAAGTAGCAAAATTAGCTGACTTGAAAAACTGTGTATATATACATACATACATTCATATATATATATATATATATATATATATATATATATATATATATATATATATATATATATCATTCGATTCGCGCTACCGGTGAGGGATAATATATTTATTAATATATACTTCATAGGTCTGTTGTATTACATTGAGCACTGTTTTATTAAACCTAGCACTATATGTTATTATATATATATATATATATATATATATATATATATATAGATAGATAGATAGATAGATAGATATGTGTGTGTGTGTGTGCGTCTGTGTCTTTGTATATATATTGGGTTGGTGCATAAATATCAGGCGTTTCTAAACAATATTTATTAAGAAAAAGTAATATAATTCAACAATAACATTTTTAAATGTGTATGATTATCGACCCGCGTTTTTATAACCTGAAAATAAAATAATATTTGTATTAAAAAGAATTAAACAAACAGCCCATTTTTATTAACAAATAACTCGCCTACAAAAACGCCTGATAATTTGTAACTCGAGATGTGACCTGATGAACCAGGAAAAATATATTTTCTGGGGAAATAAATTATAGTCATGGAAACTTAAGTTAGTTTATTTTTGTTTATTGTTACAGTAATATACCCACGCACGCATGGACTCTCCCAGCTATAAATAAAAGCAGGTACTGTCTTTTGGAGAGAGAAGTTTCCAGCCGTCAGCTTTGGACAATCGGACCGAATATTCTTGCTGTAACTCTCTCGTTTTTTTATTAACCGTTTCTGTTAATATGTTTAACTCAGTTCTTCTCTTTTGTGTTTTATTTCTGGCCCTAACAAGGCCACAGTATATATATATATATATATATATATATATATATATATATATATATATATATATATATATATATATATATATATATGCGTGTGTGTGTGTGGTATTCTTAAATAGCCCCGTCAGTCGGGTTGGTTGAATTCACTTATACGCAAATACTCTGGGAAAAGGTATGAATCCATCTCTTCTGTTCCCAACTACGTGTTAAACAGTATGACGGACTGAGTACTTAGCCTTGGTTGGCAACCAGTTTACCGGAGGAAAAAACCGCACATTACTGCGAGAAAGTTTCTGCCTAGTCAGTTATGACTCGAAAGAAACATGATCACTCAAGGGTGTATCGCTTATGGCACTTAACCAATCTATCTATCTATCTATCTATCTATCTATCTATCTATCTATCTATCTATCTATCTATCTATCATGGGCTTCATTGTTATTTAGAATATATCAAGGAAGATGGATGATCATGAAGATTTTATATCAGTAACTGGCAAGCATTAAATTTCATGATTTTGTTCGTATTCAATCTCGATCTGGATACGTGAGTACCGAACTCTATTCTACTTTTGATCTCGTGTGAACTGATGCGCGAATAAAGAGTAACGAGATTTCGCCCTTTCTTAACGGGTTTGTGGTTGGTAAATTGATGCTATTGATTTATCGGCCATTTTGTTTTGATAGTATTGCGACAATCGCCCACTCCGAAAAGACGCTTAACCAGTTTAGCAAACTTCTAAAACATTTATTTTTCAGCTGCTGTGGAGTATTTTTTTTTATTTCACTTTTTTTCTTTCTTTCCTTGAATTTTCTTTACTCTATCCGTCTGAGAAAATTTGTATTTGAACTCCTTTTTGCCATCATTAAAATTGGGTTTAAACGCCTTAATTGCAAGAATTTAAAGTTTGAAGACTGTTCTAAGTCAAATCTATGAAACCTATTTTCGTATCAAAAACAAAGCCATCAATTCAAAACTGATATATATATATATATATATATATATATATATATATATATATATATATATATATATAGTCTAAATTCAACAAAAGGGAGATTGCGTTGTGTACAAAACTCCGAATCGTGCTACCCGTGAGGACAAATGTATATTTATTAATATATAATTTATAGCTCTGTTATATTACATCAAGCGCTATTTTTATTCACACCAGTATTCAATGTGCATTTTATATATATATATATATATATATATATATATATATATATATATATATATATGGACTCTCTCGTCGGTTTCGACGTATGCGGATCTGACAGCTTATTGATTCAGTTATGAAAGTTTGTGAGATAATCTTAAGTGAGCATTTAAGACCCGCTAGTGATTTACAAAATGTGGCCATATGGAGCAAGTGTGAGGATTGTGAGATGAGATCACTGTTAGATTGGTTGACCTTTTAGATCTTGCTCTCGCTTCTTGAAGATGATTCAGACAAGCAGATTGAAAATTGCTGAGTCCACTAAAACACGTTGATCTCCATTCTACACGCGCGAAAGCTAAGCTCTCAAGGGTGGTATATTGGACTGCTGACAAGTTGCTTTTCAGCTTGTCTTTGTTTCTTAGCCATGGGCGTCCTACATTCCTGTAGCCCTGATCTAACTGGCTGTACATTAGGATCTTGGGTATCCTGTCATCAGACATTCTCAAGACATGACCAGTCCACCGAAACCGAGACTGTATGATAAAAGTCTCGATTCCTCCAATATTACACCTGTTAAACAGGTCTACGTTAGATGTCCTATCTTGAAGCTTAACTCCACAGATTGCACAGACGGCTTATATATATATATATATATATATATATATATATATATATATATATATATATATATATATATATATATTTATTAGACAAAGTGGAAAATGTTTAATGTCTTCATGACGCGTTTCGCCAACGTCATGTAAATCATTTACTTTCATACCATTCCGAATAAAAATTTCTATCTACAAAAGGCATGATGTGTCTGTGTGTGTGTGTAACGAATGCACAGCCCCAATTTTCAACAGATTTGCACCAAAATTTACATGCACATCCTCCAAGTTAGCGGGATGGCCAAGACCGACTTTACATTTTCCATGTCCCATCGTTAGTGGAAATAATCGATTTTTTCATCCTTCTACGGCACTTTTCATGTAGTTTGCGGCCATTTTCTACTGGCCAGAGTAAGAGCCAATAACTGGCTGCCACGAATAGGCAGGAAGATTCTATTGGCCAGCATGAGAGCCAACAGCTGACTGACAGTATGCAAAAAAATTCGATAGCTGCATTCGTCACAAGTGGGAAAAATTTAAATCTGCATGGCACTTTACTCCAATTGGCTCATTCACTTGCTTAAACTCAACGTTGATTCTGATTCCGCAGAACCGGGTTGGGTGTGAAAAAGTATTTGTTGTTAACATTCTTTTTTCATTCGGTTTTTACAGTTACGAGTCCTTTTTTAAAGCTGATCGTTTTGTGTTCATTTTGTTTAGTTCTTTTTTTGTAACAGATTTAATGTTTAGTATAGAGCTTAGATAAAATCGCAGTGTGAGATAGGCAAGAAGTAAGGCATGTAGCAACATCAGCACGGCAAAGGGCACTCCTTTAAAGGCAAAGAAGGGCAAAAATATTTTAAGTCAAGTGATAGCGATTGCTGTATGAGTGGTACGATTTTTGAATCAAGCACGGGAAACGCCGGGCCATGCTGCTAGTAAATTGATAAAGTTTTGCTATAAATGTACTGGAGAAAAGCTGGGAGAAAATACGAAGAAATTTCGGCAAAACAAGAAAAATGGCAAACAAAAGAAAAGACCCTATATTAAAATAATGACCTTTGAACAAATGTCACATAATGTTATACTTTCAATAAAACATCAAACAGGATTCTATATGTTACTAACACACACATGTACACACACAAATATATATAATAATAATAGCTGGTCACTCGTGTTCGAGGATACGCGTCTACTAGGGAGATTAGCCAATCCCTATTGCAGACGCTCGCTCAGGCACATTTGTGTTTGCTCAACACTCACAAAGCCAACCTGTAGTTTATAATGCAACTATGCTGAGCAGACCTTAGTTACACTTTCTGGAAGAGAGTGTGTTATCTAGCGTGATCAACAATTTGAACAAGACCAGCACGCTCACGCTCTCGTCCACGATGACTTGTGGCTTTGTGCTAGCACAGCTATAGAACACTAAAGTGCTCAGTCTACCAATTTCACTCACAAGGTTTGGATCAACCCGTGGTATGCTTTTCAGACAATTTTCAAGTATATATATATATATATATATATATATATATATAAACTCAAATATGAAGCAGATGAAATTTCTATACCTATAAAGAGAAAAGAAGGCGATGTGAATTTGACATTCGCAAGGCAGAAGAAAACAGGAACTAAACTCTCTAACGTGTTTATGTAAATGTGTGGAAGGACGTATCTAAAAAAGAAAGAAAAAAACTTACTAAGAGCAACAAACGACAGGAAATTGTGGAGAGCCATGACAACTCACGTCCTGAAAGGATACGTCACGGAGAAGAATACGTAAACGTAGCTTACCTCGGGCATTGATTATAAGAGTCTCCTTCAAGTACCCTCTTAAGAATCACGAGCACTTTTCGTAGCTTTTTTTCGGCTTTAAAATTGCATTTTAGTGATTGTTGGGAACAGTTAGAAGTTGCTGGGGGACAAATTTGGATTTTAGTCGGGATGACAGAACTGAATGACCTGATGTTTTGTCAAAAATGCTCCCAAAATGTTAAGAACTTGTGGTCAATATATTCAAAATGCCTAATATCTCCAGAGTTTTCTTCTAATGTTCGTCCAACACGCGGGTTCAATATTACTGTATGTTCTTCTTGTTGAAGGTCTTTCAGAACGTTCATCGCTTTTTATTTTATCTGATCTCCGCTCGTTGAATCTTCCATGAAAGCCTTCTTAATCAGTCGAAAAGGAAGTTGATGCATATTCGCTGATCTCGTTCGGTAGTTACGAATCCAATGAGAACACAAGCTCGCTGAATAGCATGTCACTGCTGACTGGATAACTCAATGTTTTAATAATAGTAAATCTGACCAGTTCGATATGATCAAATTAGCAGCTGATCAAAAGAAAATGACCTACAATCTACTGTTAACTACGATAAGGAATGGCTTTCTTAACGCTTCCAAAATGAAACTGCTTTCTATTAATCATCTGGGAGATCGCTTTCCGCCTTCTGTCAACATGGCTGATGCTAACCTCCAGAAGAGTGACTCGTTGCACCTTCTCGGGCTAACATTCTCGGCTGACATGAAGTGGAAAGACTATATAGAATTCATTTCCAAGTCAGCTGGTTCGCTGTGTCGTGATAGAAATAATTTCTCCCCATAATCTATCTTACAAATGTCTACAATTTGTCCATGCGTTGAATATTGCTACCACATATCGTTTGATGCTCCTGCTACACATTTAGAAATTCTTGATAAAATCCAAAGAATAATCTGCAATGTTTCTGCTCCTGACCTGGCATCTCGCCTTCAGTCATTTTCACACATATAACTTCTCTGTGACTTTTTCTATAAATACTTCCAAGGTAATTGTTCTGATGAAATTTCCTTTATTTTTTTAAGCTGTTATTTTTATTCATTAACCTATACAGAAAAATTCTACATATGGGAACTAGTTAGGATTTCGTAGAGACTCCGAGGTATTATGGTGATTGCAGTAAGTTGTGTGTTGTATTAGTGTAAGGAATACTATGGTATGTTGAGGCCAGTAATTGTGGCTAGCTATGTTTAAGATAAGACAGACTGATGACTACTACTTCCCTTTTGTTCTTGTGCTACATTTTTCTACTTTACACCAGATCTCATCATCTTACATTTGAAATGGCTTGACATAACCGTAGGTTCTCTGCTAACATTTCCCTCTATCGCACTTTTCGCTTCTGGCTTCTTGCTTCTCAGCAAACTTTTTAAATGCCATCTGTCTTCTTAATTCTTGTTCTTTTATTATTCTCTCACTTTAAGATTATTTTTCTCATACTCTCTAACACCCAGTAATCCCTTGCTTCATGCTAGCTTTATTGTCTTGCTTTGTGGGGAAATGGTTTTTTAAAAATGTCAGTAGCGGTTCTGTAAGGCTCTCTATAAAAGGTCATTAAATGCGGCCCGTTCAGAAATATTCTGAATAGCTGGTTACTTCCCAGACATAGCTTGAATCAACATAGAAATTTTGGGTCAATAATTTTCCCTCGGACACAGGATCCCACGTTGTTTTATGCAGGAAATGTTTCTCGTTTAACAATAGCTCTCTTATTAAAGATGGTCTTATAAAAGACAGAATGTGATAAGTGCCTGGCAAACAGACGTGTTATTAATTAAGCCTACCTTACTAGGGCACTTGGCCAAATGGAAGAAAACAGTGATTGAAAGATTTTATTAGA